AACACATGGTCCCATACTGTGGGATTCGATTTCAGGTCTGTCGCTCATCTACTTCCTGTTTGCCGACTTAGTTAAATTTTCAACATTAAAGTTTGACATAATTAATGATCAATAGATAGTAGGAAATTTTCGTAACAGTTTTCTCAGCAACTACTAATCATAGCCTTTTGATATTTGGTATACAGCATCAACACATGGTCCCATACTGTGGGATTCGATTTCAGGTCTGTCGCTTATCTACTTCCTGTTTGCCGACTTAGTTAAATTTTCAACATTAATGGTCAATAGTAGGAAATTTTCGTAACAGTTTTCTCAGCAACTACTAATCATAGCCTTTTGATATTTGGTATACAGCATCAACACATGGTCCCATACTTTGGGATTCGTTTTAAGGTCTGTCGCTCATCTACTTCCTGTTTGCCGACTTAGTTAAATTTTCAACATTAATGGTCAATAGTAGGAAATCAAATTTTCGTAACAGTTTTCTCAGCAACTACTTATCACAGCCTCTTGATATTTGGTATACAGCATCAACACATGGCCCCCATACTGTGGGATTCGATTTCAGGTCTGTCGCTCATCCACTTCCTGTTTGCCGACTTAGTTAAATTTTCAACATTAAATTTTGACATAATTAATGATCAATAGATAGTAGGAAATTTTCGTAACAGTTTTCTCAGCAACTACTTACCACAGCCTCTTGATATGTGGTTCACAGCATTTACATGACTGTGGTCCAATATTGTGGGATTCCATTTCAGGTCTGATGCTCATTCTTTTCAGGTTTACCAACTAAGTTAACTTTTCAACATCAATGGTCAGACAGTGGTAGAAAATTTAAGTAACATCACAGCCTCATGATATTTTGTATACATATGCAACCCGGCCTTTTCTGTCTTTGACCCATTTTTATGGTTTTATATCAAAAATATAATGCTCAAATGAAAATTTATCAATATTTAAGTTACAAAAAGCATTATTTGTAAAGGTATTACCGAATTTACATTTCATGTTTAAGGGAGGCAATTAGAAATTTATTTTTTATGAAGTCTTAGTCAAATTCTTTCAATGAGAAATGAATGCATATATTTTAATGATAACATATAATGTGGAAAAATATTTGAAGTACATATTTTTACATATTCTTTGATGTTTGAAAATTGTTTTAGAAACATAAATATATACATATATAAAAATTCACTTTAGTGTGGTTAAATTCTTATTTACAACATACATGATTAAAGATCCTAAAACTCATTTTTTTATGGTTTTATATCATAAATATAATGCTCAAATGAAGATTTATCAATTTTGTAAGTTCCAAAAAGCTTTATTTGTGAAGATATTACCGAATTTACATTTCATGTTAATAAAGGGAGGTTATAAGAAATTTATTTTCTATATATGTTTTTCAATAAGAAATGAATTCATATATTTTTATGATTACATATAATGTGGACAAATATTTGCACTACATATTTTACATATTCTTAAATGTTTGAAAATTGTTTTTAGAAGCATAATTATATCTACATAATTATATAAAATTTCACTTAAGTGTGGTTACAACCGTAATTACAACATACAGGATCTTTAACGTTCGCGTAAATTTCAAAGGCATATCAAAAATAAAGAAAACTGAAGAAAAAAAATGTCAATGTCTTTTTTTGTTAACATGAAAGTCAATAAAATTACACTGAAATGTTTCATGAAATATACACGAGTGCATGCACGTGAAAATCGCGTTCAGTTGGTTTCTTCTGCAAAACGAATTAAAATGGAGTTAAAATTTGTTTTTATCTCACATATAATCGTTCGCCCGAATATATGTAGCTCATTTGACAATTTGATTTTTTTCAAATAACATTATATATACGCTTAAAACAGGGGAAGTTTCTTTTTTGTTCAGTTTATGTTTGTGTCTTGTTACAGTTTTCAAAATATTACTCATTGGTCATATAGCTGGGTCATTTTATGCTGTTTCTGTGTTTGGGCAATTATAAAAGTAATAGAGATTTAGTATCTTCCGACTTTTAATACATGCTTCCTTAACCAAATAAAATTTAACAGATTCAGCACCATTTTATTCCATATTTTCTAAATCCATTATTACATTATAAAACATCTGTACTTGTGTGCGTGTGTCCTTTCTGAAAGAGAAAAATCATTTCTGAGGATAAATGTGCCTTTGAAATTTAGAAACGGTAAAATGTTGTTTGCAAAATCTAATGGTCAATTCTTGAAAGTTGTAATATAGTTAATCCGATGTCCATGTCATTTAAAACGCATGAATCCGGGATAAATTAGAATGTCTGCTATTTCAAGTAGCGTACGTACCACTTTCTCTCATTAGGATTTTTTATGTGTTTTTGTTTTTTTTTTCAAATTCGAAGAATAATTTGTACAGCCAGAATATTTAAAGCATAATTTATTTACATGTACATCACAGCATATTTCACCGACCTGTTACCGTAATACAAAATATGTACTTCAATGGTCATAGCTTAAGACTGAGGTTTAGTTTTTAAGTTTCTTAAAGTTGACCGACTTACTAACCAGACACCTGTGATGAAAAAGGAGGTCTTGCTCCAGTTTATTTACATAAGTGACGTGCTATGTCCACTTTATGAATAGAAAATTTGACATGTCGAGTTTATGAATAAAAAACCGGGCACATCTTTTGTGTTACTTTTTTGTATAGAAAATGATACATTTTTAAATCCATCAATTGTGTTAATAGAATACAAATATAAAACGTGTAACAGGCTTAAGTTATGGTCAACCTTTTGAAAAGGAAATATTACCAAAAAGGATTATCTACTGTTTTTTTAATGAATAGAAAAATGAAACAGGTTTAAAAACCACAATACTACCCAAATTTGCCGGCTCGTGTGATTTCAAATCGCGATTTTCCCTCCTAAATTTTGTTGGCATGAACTAATTACTATATTTATTGAACCTATATGTACATCATTTCTGACTTCAACTAAATACTAGTATCTGGTAATTGTTTATAAATGTGAGGTTTCCTTAACCCCTCTGGGAAATTTATTACAGTATTTTATCTACGGGAAACCTTGTGTTGAAATATTGGAACCGTTTGAAACAGAACTAATTAGATTACAGGAAAACAATAACTGTCTAGCGGCAGATCTTAATTGAAAATAAATCATTTTGAAAATCTTGTTTTATCAGATTTATGGCCTGTTCGCGGGACAGTAACACATACCCGGGATAATAATGATCTGAAATATAAATCAGTAAGAGGGAACTTTAAATTTGTAGCAGACAACAAAAAACATGATTTATAGGTGACAAACAAGTCATTTTAAGAGGTATATTATTAGTAATGTAAAGAATCTTTATGACAAATTTCAAAGTAAATGATTTAATATAACTAGAGAAAATCAAGATTTATTTCATCTTCTTAGCTCTTCTCCTGGCTTTTGTGTAACTGATAGTAACTGAAAGTAGAAATTTTCGTGCGGTGTATTTGAGTTTATTTATAACCATATTATGATTGAGTCCTCCAGAAGAATTAATATAAGTCACTTAAGATTTTTGGAGGATAGTGCAAGATACAGATACAGAAAGATGCTTCCATTCAAGGAGCTTCTCCTCGTTCGTTAACGTGCCAAATATTTAAACACTCATACAATTGACCTCGATTTAAAGTCTCATCCGAAAGACTGATTATTAGTAATTTCAGTTGGTCAGCGCGGGAATCGAACCCATAATGTCGAGATTACAAGTGTCGCGCTCCTTTTTATACTGTAATCCTGGTGTTTGGATAAAACAGTCACTTAATCTGGTCGGCTTTTAGAAATCTAAATAACTTTAACCGCCTTTCAGTATGATGTAATAGCCCCATGGCCACGGGTAGCCAATGTTATCATGGTTATGAAAGATGTTTAAAATATTTGTGGTTTTGCGCTGCATGAGGCATTACACTATTCGCCCATTTAGACAGTAAATCCTGTTTACATACAGTTTCGGTATTCTTTGTTTGAAGGACTTGTTCAGTAGATGAAGTAACTAGAACGTTTTAGTTATAAAAGGCCAGATCGCGTTTAGTAGCCACCTGAATATATACATTTATAACAACAAATTGATATTGTTCAATATTGTGCTATTTTGGGTATGGGCAATATCTCCCCTCTAGAAGCAAGATTCTCCCAAAAACAAAAACTATCTCAGAAATAAGCTTTGACAGTCAAAATATTTTGACTAATATTTATCCTGCTTTATAGCTTCACAATATTAGAATATACAGATCTGTTGATAGTTTAAGTTTTTAGATATTTTCACCACAAGAGGTTTGATACCATCATATTTAAATTTCGTTAATTAAAGGCGATGAACACATACCGCCATAACATTTACTAAAACAAGAGATGTCCTAACTTTTCTCACTAAAATGAGTCATCATAATTTTAACATAACTCGTTGGTATGACACCTGAATTATCTAACACTGGGATGTGAAGCAACTTTAAGCACAGCTGTGAACTCTACAGTCTTGTCTTAATAACCCAAATTCAGAGTCTTGATGTGATTTGAACTGCAATGGTAAATGGGAAAATGATTCTATGTCAAGACTAGCTACAGAGGCTATACACCTTGTTAAAACGGCAAGTAACTTGCCGAAAACAAGATCTGGGTGAACCGGCTAATGCTTACCGAATAGGTTTTGGACACATATAAGTAGTTTCTTGTGGATATCTCTTGTAGTTTCAGTTATGTCCCAGACAAAAATTGATAAGGGCAATAACTCCAAATTTAGGCAAGACAGAGTTACGGTTCTTGTGCACTGCACTTCTAATCACAGAGATATACATATCTACAAAATTCCTTGTAAATACCTCTTGTACTTTCAGTTATGTCCCAGACAAGAAAATGCGGACAGACGGACAAAGAGACTACTGTATGTTTTCGCTTTGGGGAGAATAATCAAATCAACTATCTTCATCAAATATTCACATAATAAATAAACAACAAATCTTTTTTTTTTCAATTTACTTTATTTGGTTAAAGTAAATCAAGGTTGTAAGTCAAAATATAAAATCTATTTTTTAAATACCTAGTCTGTTTTGGTGAAATATTTCTACCTCATCAAAGTAAATACCAAAACATGACTGTACAACAATATAACAGAGCACTAGAAGGAAATATGAAAACTTTTAAAATTAATAATGAAACAAAAATATCAGTGACATCAAAGGATGGTGACTTGACAGCTAAAAACAGCATTCCAACTTTCTTTGGAAAAGTAGAAACAATATAAATTCCTAGCACTTACATCTAAATTGTCAAGTTCTTACTTAATTATTACTGGTAGAATTATTACATTTTATATCCCACAACAGACAGTCCATTCAAGACAGTTATGTATTTCCCATTGCCATTTGCCAGTTAATCCAAATATAATTATATATGATAAACACAAAGATATACCATAATCACAAGTAGAAAAGTTTTTCCCCAGAATTATACTAAAATCACTGAAATACCCCAACTGAATGTATCTGCATGTATGACTCTTTTAGAAAAATGATCACAAGCTTTTATGGCAATCTTTGTTTAAATCAAATCTTTACTTAACTTTGTAAAATCAAAGTATCATTTTTATGCTTAAAATTAACTCAAATTTTAAGCCATGAAGCCAAAGTGGCCTGCAAAACTTATTTTTAAAAAGAATACCAATTTTACTAGTTTGACTCTTGTCAAGTTCTTTGATCTATTCTTATCTTTGAATTTCATGGATAAACAATCAGAGAAGATAAGAATATTTGATATCATCACTATAAATATGGAAATATAAAAGCCTGTAATAAGATAATCAAGTTTGACATGAAACACTACATACAAGACAGCTTTCAAGAAACTACATTTTCTATTTCTGATATATGATAAATGAAAATATGAACATGATTTTTCTTCTAATCTCAATATTAAATAAATGATAACACAAATACACTTTACTCTACAAGACTTTAGCATATATGATGCAGGGATTCAGTATTAAAGAGTGGTATCCACTATTTAGAAAGATTATTGCACGAAAACATTTTCATTTGCTTCTCAGAAATCAAATTTTGACCTCTTAATCCAAGAGTTCTTCACAAAGGTGACAGTTTTAATAAAAAAAAAATCCAAATCTTTCTTTTTTTAATAATAATGTGCAATACAATTGATATTACACATACTTCCACAAATCTAATCAAACTAAATTATAGGTACATTTACACCAGGGCTGACTTGCTGTAGCCAATTCTTTATTTCTTGAGCAAAATTAAATATTATTGAGGAAAATTTGTCAATGGCCCAGATATTCATTTATTGTTTATGAAAACAAAACAAACCTTCAATATCGACATAACGCACATTGGAAACAGTATCATTCACATAAAATGTTACAGAAACTTATCTAAAACATAGTTCAAGCTATTTTAGTATCATCAACAAGTACATCAACCTTTCCTATCAGTTGCTAGTTCAAAATTAATCAAAAAGTGATACACTATATTATCTCGTCAGACCAGTATTTTTTACACAAACTGGTCATTACATTTCATAGGTAAATAAATAAAACATATGATAAAGTGAAGGGCTAAACTAATGGTTCAAGGAATAAACAAAACAGACACAAAAAAGAGACCTAAATCAAAGTTATAGTTATAAAACGAGATAAAAAGAACTTGTCTTTAAAGCTACACAAATGTTCTTCTATAATCTACTGTTTCTGATGCTAATTACTATAATAATAATAATATCAACAACATAAAGATGTTTCAAATATAACATGACAATAATTCTCCTCTGTCAGAGTGTTTGCTCATTATTACATGTCAGAATGAACTGAAGAAGTATTATAACAGTCAAAGCTATATACGGCCCATGTTAATAAAAAAGAAAACCCTGTCTTATTAAGTATCTAACAATAGGTGAATAAATACAATAAAGTTCATAAACTGATAAACTAACACTAAATATTAGTACGTAGCTTATGTCATTCACTTCAAAGCTACATAAAGGTCATCTTTTTAATGGGGTAAATATGCAAACAAACACTGTAAAGTTTACATATGGACAACCCAACATTACTCATGATGGGAGGACCTCAGGTGCCCCTCCATGCAGTATTTAAGGAACATGAAGATATCTCAGTAGAACCACGGACCTTCCATATGCTTACTGTATAGCTTCCTCACATGAAAGAATTAAAAGTTGCTGGTGGGATTCCAACCCACAGCTGTATGATGCAGATTTGAAATTAGTAAGCTTATATAGGTTTACTTTCCAGTCACAGAGACTTTGCACCTCAACCCCGTTACTGTGATTTAGAATGAGAAATGACTTTTTACCAGCATTCATTAGTTTTAGTTAAACCAATGTTTCAGAAAATTAAAAAAAATGGACTGGCAATATAAATTTTAAAGAAGTAACAAGTATATCTTAATGCCAATTCCTTCACAAATATTTCATCTACAAGGGCCTTTTTGCCATGTCTTTTAACTTTTTTTTCTGATGTAAACAAACATTCACAAATTTTTGAGATCTATTTTTCCCATTCTTTTGTAAATCACTACAAAACAATCATTACCCACTGATAAGCCCTTCTGTTAAGAACAGCTACTTGACATAACACAGAATATTAAGTAAGTTCGCCTTATGTCATGTCTATAGCCGTTCTTTTTTAAAACCCATTTACACAATTGATAACACTGTGTCATATTTTCACGACATACTAACACTGGTGTCATCAATATCCATACCACCACCTCCATTTAATTCTGGAACCACTTGCTGGGATTTCATCTCGTCAAGTGCATGAGATCCGGACGGCACCATTTGGTTTGATTCTGATTCCAGGTTATGTGTTGGAGGTACATTTTCACCATTTTCAACAGGTGTACTCTGATTGTCATCCCAATCTATTTTAAATCTTGTAACACGAGGATTTGTGGCTAAAATGTTTCTCATCAACTGAAATTAAACAATTCAAACATAACAGCATTACTTATGATTCATTCCACCTAGTACTACTGTATATGTACATAAAATAAATGGGGCAAAAGTATCTATAGCCTGTGAGGCCCTGTTTTAAATATACAGCAAAAATTAGTTCTTGCAATCTTCTTCAAATATTGTTTTTGAGTTCATGGCAACAGGTTGTAGAACTATAATTATTCAAGTCATTTAAAAGCAGAAGTTACCAAACCTACTTTCTGAAGTGAAACATCAACATATAACATACCTTACTTAATAACTTAAATAGAAATATACTGGAATACTGACGTGACAACACAGCCATTATCAAGGCTTTGAACGAAACGAATATAATGTTCATAACAACAATTATTCTCATACAGTGCAACCACTACAGAGCGATTCTCTGTACAGCAATATACCTATTTACAACAACATCATTATTTCCCACAATTTTACATGGTTTGAGCAACACCTTTCCGCAATTACCAAATTCCCTGTCTACCATATGAGTGTTGTTCTGCAGAAGTTGCACTGTATTATCCTTATTATTCTGAATTTATGTAACAGACTTGCCTTGCTTTTTATAGAACTGTGCATTAAAAGCTTACATGTATATGATTTTTGCATAAAAATAATCAAAACAAACATTATTAAATCTGATTTCAGCGTAAAAATGATGAAAGTAGTCAACAGTAAATGAGCCGTGTCACGACAAAACCAACATAATGGGTTTGCAACCAGCATGGATCCAGACAAGCCTGCGCATTCGCGCAGTCTGATCAGGATCCATGCTGTTCGCTATCAGTTTCTCTACTTGTTATACGGTTTGTAAGCGAACAGCATGGATGCTGATCAGACTGCGCAGGCTGGTCTGGATCCATGCTGGTCGCAAACACATTATGTTGGTTTTGTCGTGACACGGCTCAAATATTCTGATATCATCACAAAAATGATTAGTCAACAGTATACATTCTGTCACATACCCTTTTATTTTTAATGAAAGACAATTTTTACTACTGCAAACACAGTAGTGATTATTAATTTAATACCCACCTTGTCATATTGTGGAACAGTTGGTGGTACTTCTTTCATCTCAGGTTCATCATACTCATTATTTACATAGTAACCCACTCTTATGAACTCTTTATTTCTATATGAACATGTTAACAAAACAACTGTCACCCCAACAGCATCTTGAAGTGGTATTTTACTAGTATCAGGAGGTGTAGCCTGAAATAATAAGACAATAAACTTGTATATAGCATTCAACCATCTACGTTTCCATGTAATATTTAACAAGTAGTCAATGATGTTGCCCTTGACTTCTAATGATCATTAACAGTAATCAATTTAAAAAAGAAAATTGTTGAGACTTCAAAATGATGAAATGTATGTTATGCAAGAAGCCTGCAGTGAGGCCCTTGATATGGTAGGACTAGGATATATATTTTAGTAATTTGAATTTTGGTTATTACAATATACATAGACTATATATGATTATGGAATCAAAAATCAACAATACCTGAAACACAAACTTATGTCTACCACCTGGCACTGGGCCTACAAGTATTGTTTCTAAAGTTTGGTCAAATTCTTCACTTTCTGCAGCTCCAACATATATGATTTTCCACTCCAAATCTGAAGGTTACAGGGAAAAGAAGACTGAATTCATCATAAACAGTGTTTTTTTCACCAAAATATTCGGCAAAATTCGGCCCCATTCCCCCCTCAAAATAGTATGTTTTCCCTCCCCTCAAAGCCTAAATTTCCCCCTACATGGCAGCCCAAATTTGCCTGCAATTAATATCATTTTTTTTGCAACTAACTGCCAAAAAAAATGTTTTATTTAATAAGAGTAACTGTTAAGCAAGGTTGTTTACAAATCGTTCTCTGGTAGGTAAGGGGAGCTACTCCCGGCGTCCCAACAAGTTTAACATGCGACGTATCGATATTTTAGATCCGTATATTAAGAAAAAGAGATGTATTTTAAACTTGTGTTGCAAGAGTTGCTCCCCTTTTCCATCGCAAAGAAAACAATATAAATTAATAAAATGAGTAAACAAATAAAATTCCCCCTCCTATTGCATTTTTCCCCCTCCAAAGGGCACCGACCTCCTTCCCCCAAAAGTGAAAAAAAACACTGATAAATAACACTGCACTTAATCATATCAGTCAGAGTGCCCACATTGTCAAATCTACAGAAATCTTCTCCTTTGCACATACAAAGGCCATTCTCTGCTGGAAACAATTCTGTTTTTTATAGAAAATAAAGAATTTCGGGTCAAAATAATTATGTGCAATGCAAGGAAAAATACATTTTTTAATCACCAAACTTTTTTAATCACCAGTTTCAAAAATCACTCAGATATTGGTCAGAATGCTGATTTACGTTTCCAACATAGTGCAATATATACAATGTACTTAGTGAGTATCGCACTGCAATTGCTGCCTAAGTGGAGACATTTAAAAGGACATATATCTCCTATGTAAGGTTACAAATTTAAATTCAGTTAGTGTTAGCATGTTTATCTTGCATTAATCTTTCATAGGATATGCAATTTCTTTCAAATCCTTACCAATCATTACTAATGAAGATGTTTCTATGCATCAGATCTTAACAGGCTGGTGAAATTGCCCGACCGGGCTTATGTCATAAAAAATCATATTTCTAGAAAAGAAATAGATATTTCTTTTAAACTTTGTTTATTGAGAATAATATTTGACATAAACAGAAAAAAAAATATTTAGCTACTGTCACTTTTGTAATTTATTTCCCCTTTTTAGTGTTTATATAACACATAATTTTTGAAGTCCTTAAAAAGTATGTTACATATGCATCACCTGTCAGTATACATTTCATTCAGTTTTCAGAGAAAACTTCAAAGTGTAATGTTCAGTGTCAAAGAATTGTCAAAATATGGTTTTGAGAGGTAGGAGGGTTGTAGAGTGGGTCAGGGGGGCCCGGGGGTATTGTAGCCAGGCAATATTTTGTTTTATGTTTATGATCAACCTAATATTATGCTAATATGTGATCTAATAACATATTTTGGTTCTTTGGAAAGCTGAGGGGGATAGACTGAAATTAGTTTTGGTCTGCTTCCTTCAGCTTCTCAAAGCAATATCACTTAGGTGTGAAATCCTTTGATGTAAAAACTTAGAAGATGGTCAAATGCACATGTGATAATGTTTTATTAATTATGATAGACAGATTAAAGATAAGAAATATATTATTTGATTGGATAAATTCAAAAAGGGGGCAGATACTTTGTTTTGGATAGAATTTTGGACATACAGATTGGGGGGGAAAGTTAGGTCAGTTTAGGTTTAAGTCTAGGTTAAGAAGGTTAGGACAAGAAAAGAAAATACATTAAAAATTTTTAGCCGGGCAATATTTTGTTTTATGTTTGCTATTTTTCACATCTTTCAAGCTTTACAGTCATAAATTAAGTTTACAAAATGCTTTGTGGGTAAATACAGAAGTTTGTATGTTTAATGTTTAATTGAATTAAGTATATTGCGATGACATGATTGAAAAATATGGTTGAATCATCATAAGTTTATGCAATATGTGATTGAAAAATGATATGAGTGATTTAAGTGTTTTAATTGATTACAATGACAAAGATGACAGTGAAATGACAGTGTTGAAGTGAAAATGTGAAAAACATGTGTGTTTAACTGTAAATACAATTATCTTTATGCAAAGGAAATAAGACTAAAATCAAACAATCAAAGTAAGTGTTTACCAGACAAAAAGAACTAAAATGAAATGGAAATAAATGGAAGTTTTGTGGTGACATTATATCAGAAAAATGGATTTATATGGAAATTATGAACATAATTATATAAAGATTTCCTTTGGTTAATTAAGAATATCAAGACTTTAAAAAGAGCATACTATTTCCTATAATTACACTGTTAACTGTGTTGATTGCATAATTATTATATACATTGTATTGCATTTTAAATTGTGTTTTATATACTTTGAAACATTGAAGTTTTCCAGTCCACCTTATCTGTATATTTATATGTAAATTGCTTAGTAGTGATTTTAATTTGTTTATTACTTGTCTGATTGTTAAATGTTCATTGATATGTTTATATGTTTATGTATAAAGTTTGACAGAGCAAACTTAGCTGGGTGGCGAGATAATGTAGCCAGGCAATATTTTGTTTTATGTTTATGATCAACCTAATATTATGCTAATATGTGATCTAATAACATATTTTGGTTCTTTGGAAAGCTGAGGGGGATAGACTGAAATTAGTTTTGGTCTGCTTCCTTCAGCTTCTCAAAGCAATATCACTTAGGTGTGAAATCCTTTGATGTAAAAACTTAGAAGATGGTCAAATGCACATGTGATAATGTAATATTAATTATGATAGACAGATTAAAGATAAGAAATATATTATTTGATTGGATAAATTCAAAAAGGGGGCAGATACTTTGTTTTGGATAGAATTTTGGACATACAGATTTGGGGGGAAAGTTAGGTCAGTTTAGGTTTAAGTCTAGGTTAAGAAGGTTAGGACAAGAAAAGAAAATACATTGAGTAGAAAGATTAGAAGTGAACAAAAGGATTTAATTTGATATTGTAAAAGATAATAGTTAATTAATAATAAGGTGGACTGGTGTAAAAGATTTAGCAAATCATATGGAATAAAAGAAACTGAATGTGGACATTAAAGTTTGTTGTTATATAAATTTCAAAAGCAATTGTGAAGTTAAGATTTAAAGCTAATTCCCCGAGTGGTCAGACCTAGAAAAGGGCGCCTGGCCACAGTATTGACCAATCAACGCGCCAAACACCTATGAGCCCAATGGAAAAGAGTTATCTCGGCCCTATACCAACTCGGCACGGGTCAACTCGGCCCACTTCACAAAAATATATATAACGTATTAACTTTGCTTTGCATGTTGTTAAGGTAAATGAATAATAAGAAATATCTTATTATTATATAAATGTCATGTTGAGGTTACTAATTTGTATTTTTGTGTAAATAAAATATGTTGAACATGATTAATACATGTACTAGTATATCCTGATTTTGTCTCGTTCTGCCTCTTCACTTGTTTGTATTATAATTTTGTAACAATAAATATAATATAAAGCACTGTTTGTTCTTTGTTATATTTATAAACTCTCTCTGTCTCCACCAATTGACAGTCCCTTTATGAACTACATAAATAACCGAGGTAAATCGAGTGAAAAAACAAGAGTTGTTTCCCTTAGTTTCTCTTCGCTTGCAAAAGAATGCAAATTTAGCCGTATTTAAATCGCTAGTTTTGGGCGATTAAATGTCCGATTTTGTATATTTCAACACATTGTTTGACACTGAAAGTATTTAAATTTACGGTTAAACCTACCACAAGTCAGAAATACAGTGAGATACGCAATCGGTTATCTTTACTCGCAATTCTACTGATAAGAAAAGCCTGTCTGCTGCTAGTTCGGAAACTGCCAATCCGTGTATTATAGATAATTACAATATTTACAATAAATAGTGATAACACAAACCTAAATATTAATAATTGAAAAGTGGGCCAAGTTGACCTGTGCTGAGTTGGAATAGGGCCGAGCTGACTCGGGGGCCCCCCGAGTACGTTTAAGGGCCGAGCTGACCCGAATTCAGCCCAATGGGGCATTTTCACCAGTCTGCTAAATTTATGTCTGATGTCAACCAGTCATTTCACCCCCCTGTTACCACCTAACAAAACATGAAAATGAAAAAAAATATAAGATTAATGAATTAAGATACGTAATTTAAAATTAGGGCAAATGAATTGAGACAAAAGCAGATTTAATACAAAAAATCATTTTCCCTTCTGAATGATTTTGACGGTATTTTTAAATTTACACCGATATACAGTATTATAGTCAGTTATATAAGCAAATAAATTTTTAAAAAAGTTTCCAACATTAAACAGTTGCACAATAAATGGAAATCTACTTTTATAAAATAAAACTAGAAATAAAATTTCTGAAATTTCATAAAAAGAAAAAACAACAACATTATCTACCTTCACTGAGGTCCTCCAAAGCTTCAAATGTTATTTCAAACTGAAACGGGTTGAGAAAAGGTGAAGGATTATCAAGAACAACAACATTAACTATATTAACCTTCGCCATGACTTTAAACAGTAATTTTAGTACAATAATATTATGCTCGGCGAAAAAGAATGGCGCGAATGAATGGCGACAATGCACATTTATTACGCGTGTAGCGATTGGCCAATGTTCTATAGTGCTAACTTATTGCGAAATTTCATTGGACATAAATGGCAACAGACACTGTATTTCCGGTTCCGGCTTTTTGACAGCACGTCAAATTTTATAAATTATTGACATTTTATACTATTTATGACTTTTGTATGGACCAGGTACAGGGCCCAAACACCATTTTTGGGGAAGGGGCCTCAGCCTTTTTCTTGGGGAAAATATGGGTGATTTTGGCATACTTTGGGAAAAGGGGTCTCAAATTTAACAAAAACTTTTAAAAGTTCTTCCAACTAGAAAAGCAAAAAGCACTGGGAAATTACTAATAAGGTAGTAAAAGACCTGAATTCAACACCATCATTTAATTTTGTTCTAAATTCTATGGGAAATTTAAAGACTGGGGAATTTTAAGGACCAAACTGGGGAAAAAAAGAGGCTAGATTGTTTGGGGAAGCAGCCTATATTCGGCCTCTACAAAGAAGGGTTTTTTGGCCCTGAGGTATGAATATTTTTGTTAAGGGATCATCATGCAAATGTTTATCGTTGAGTTTTCATTCAACACGTGAAATGACAGTATAGAAATAAACTGTTCTGCCTGTCTTATTTCACTGTACTGAGGGTCCCAAATAAGCAAATTATTTCGTTAAAATAAGAAACATTCATGGTATATATATGCATAGTGATATAGTACATTTATTTAAACCTGTTACTTGTAACCGATTTTAGTGATTTACTATCAAAAGCGATTTTCGTTATATATCTATTGCTTGCGAAGTTACAGAGTAGTCACCAGGCTTCATTTCAGAGAATGTTGGGTGAACTAGTTTTGTTGACAACTCCTCAACTTTTTAGTCAATTTATCCAATACTTTTTGTCATCCCACCCTAAGCACAGGTGTTCAGCATGTCAATTAGTCAATACGCATAAAAAAACCCAAAAAACTTATAGCTACAACATAATTATACATTGTATATTTAGTAAATTATGCAGCGTACCACTCAATATTCAGCACTCATCCTAATGTAAACTATTACGTATTTTTTCACCAAATTTCAAAATCTTCAAAACTAAATGGTAGGGAATTGATTACTCTTAAAAGAAATAAAGCTGTCATTACAATTATTTCAAGTTATAAGTAGATATTTAATCTTGAAGTCACCGTAAGCATACATATATGTATGTAGATCAACAGAGATGTGACTGCTGGGTTTTTTCTTAAACTTGACAGCTAGACAACAAAGGCTTGAATGACTGGAAGTACAAAATTGGCGCGACAGTAATCTAAAAATAAACGACCAATCAGAAAACAGTTCACCAAAATCACGGTTTACTCGAAATAATTAGTTATTTTAGATCTAAAATATATCAATGAATAATTTTTTATTTTGCGCATGTAAATATAATAAAATAAAATTTTTATTTGTAATAACTAGCTGTTCAATCAAATCATCATATGAAACTATAACAAACTTTTTTCAGATATGTCAAATTCTAGACTTTGTCATGTCTCTTATCTCCGAAATATAAAATAAAAGAATTGATTATTATTATTATTATTATTATTAATATCTTTATATTTAAAGTACAATGTACTTAATTATTATATATTTATTTATATTTTAACTCTGCTGTATTTTTCAGGAATGGTTTTATATGGGTCTATCTAATTACCAAATTATAAGATTTAGCAGAAAAAAGCAAAAACAACAATCTACAAAATTAAAAACCTATTGTGCTGAAATAAGATGCTGAATAGAACAAGTATAGAGGAAGCAAACAAACACCTACAGGCATTGTACAGTCGAGTAAGTGAGCTTGAAAGTACTGTTCAAGAACAACAAAGTGCTTTGTCTGCAAAAGACTCATTTATACAAACAAAAATAAAAGAACTATCCCATCAAGACCTTGTGATAAAGGACTTGAGGAATAAGTTGGAAGAACGTGATGTAGAAGTAAGTAAAAATAATGAAATTATTACAATCCTGCAGAAAGAATTGCTCGCTAAAAATGCTCAGCTGGACATTCTCAAACAAAAGTGTAAAGCATTAAGTGATTTAATGGATCTCATTCCAGACTTGAAGGCATATTGTTCAAAAGTTGAAGCAGTAGCTCTTATTGTAAATGACATTGATGATGGATATGTACGTGTTAACGCAAGTCCAAGTCTATCTGATGAAGCTGATAATACGGACGGAGGTGACATAGGAAATCATTCTGCAGGAAGTGGAATACATGAAGTGGTTGCTGATGAATCGATAAGTGTTGGTGAAATGGCAAGGAGTTTTGTGCAGTTGGAGGGAACTAAAAAGTTCTCAGTGACAGAGGATGATTTAGATGAAAGTGAAATAATTACTGTTAGAAATACAAGTGTAAAGAAGGAACACTACTTTTGATTGTTAAGAAAATTTGTTAAAGTGTTTAACATATAAAGTTTCTGATAACATTGTTCATTTTAGGACAAAATATGGTTGTTATTTAAACTTAGCAATATATGGAAGAAAAGAATACATACTATATTACGCTGGTCTTTATATTAATTTTCTTTTTAAAATTATGTTAATATTTTCCTCATATTGAATGGCAATTTATAATTTTGAAGAATGTGTCAGATGTGGAAGTTAAATTATGTAGATAATGATTTACTTAGTTGACATGTAATTACAAACAAAGTCCTTCAATGGAATTATTCTTGTAAATAAAGGCAAGCTCAATATGCCTCAAAAATATTATTTCAAATAAATGGCAACTGGAAACTTGCATCTGACACATTTAAACTTTTGATGTTTTAATTTTCTCCCATATTAGCTGAAGGCACCCTAAAATTATGTTTATGTAGAGGTCAGTTGAATTAGTTTTAGCTTAATTAGTATTGAATCCGAAGAAGATCACAGGGTTACAAGGGGTTATATTTTGTATAGGTTTTGTATTAAGTGCAGGGATTTTATTGTAAATTAAGGTTGTTATTAATGATCTAATGAAATTTAACACTTCTCTTTAATGATTATTTGAATTACATAATTATTATGTCAATCTGTCTTTCTTTTTCACATTTGTTATGCATTGACTCATTAAATGTACTTTATTGATTTTAAAAGGAGAAAAATCTCTTACTCTACATGTATATTATAATATGTTCATGATTAAAAAAATGCACTTTTGTGATCATCTGATGTCTCTTATAAATGAGCTGTTACATTCCATCTGCCACAGTAAATTTTATATATTTTTATTTGTAAGAAAATAAATATTTTTTTACTATGTTCTTAAAAATGTAAAAATTCATAATTATGCAATAGTCAAAACATAATTGCACATGTACATATGTACAGTATTTTTTAGAATCTGTGACTTCCATTAGAGGCCATAAGGCTTTAACTCTATTTTACATTTAACAATTTTTATATGTATGTTTTATATATATCAATTGGATGTCAAGGTTTTTAAAGTCAATGAGTTAATTGCAAATTTCTGTACAATGCACCAGAGTTACAAAAGGTTTGCCCATCTACTCATTCACAAGTTCTTTAATCATAGATCCCTGATGAAGTACCAAAATTGTGTTGTTTTGTTGGCCTTTTAGTGGTATATATATTAATGAATAAACAGAACAGAAATTTTATTCAAGATTTGTACATGGTACATCATCTTACAATTTGTACAATTTAAATATACTATACAATAGTCACATGCCATAAGGAACGATCTGAGATAAGCATCGTATACGTCACTGATAAGAGACCTGTTCTAAAAATAGCCACATAGCGATAAGTTTCGGACAAGGAAACTGGTTAATCTACATACGAATACTTTTATTCACATTTCTCTCAATGAAATGATGTATCTGGAGTTAAACTTGCGTAAACCATGATTGAAATGGTTTAAAAAAAGATGATATGGTGAAAAAGAAATAACTTTCGGGGCAATACTTTCCCTGCATGTCAATTTGAGAAAAATGCCGGCGCTTGGCAATTTGTTTCTGTTTCACTTTTTATCAAAATTAGAAATGGTGATATGATATGGCATGATTTTAAGAAATTGGGACTAAAAATGAAAGAGTATCTGTCTGTCGTACAAAATTTTGTTTATATAAATACGTAGATTGGAGATGTCATGAATCTATCCACCAAAGTGCTACGAGTATTAGATTAATGATTAATATCTTAATTCTTTAATAATTTTAGAATAAGCAAAACTCTGCATTTTTCCTATTTTACCTAATAAAAAATGCCGATTCTAGTATTTATTTTATCAGAAATAATGTATACGTACATGCATGCTTGCATGTATATTTAAACTGAATTGACAATTGAGGTCCGTGATTTAACATACACTGTTTACGTATAGACAATAAAATACATTTGTTTTTTATTTTATGTCTCACACAAAATATTTGTTGTTAAAATCATCGCCAATTACTGGTGCATTTTTTAAACTTTGTTTTATTGACAAGGTGTAAAGATGTATATATAGAGGTCAGAGCAGATTGTGACATATGTTTAAATTTAACTTAAAAAAGTACAGTGTGTAGTGTCCCTTTTCTTTTCACACTAAATTCCATTTCCAACTTGTTTGCTTTCTACAATTGTATTAAATATCTTAAAAAATTGCATGTAAACAAAGTAAATGTACCCTGATTAACATCATGTATAATGTGAACTCCCTAATCCCTTGTCCGAAAGTCAGTACAGGTGGTGTAGTGGTGATAAGGTAAAATCTATTTTTAGAACAGTGCTACCTTCAGATCGAAGGCTATTTAATGTACATAAATATAGCTATAGATCTTAACATACATACTTTTAACAATGAAAATATAGATAAAGAATACAACATGAAATATTCTGTTTACTTCCTACATAGAGGATTAACCATTCATTATTACATATTATAAGACATGGATGTTCTATTAGCCATAGCATCTCTGATATAGTAAGCCAAGTTACACAATATTTTCTTATTATTACAATTTAACAATTCAATAAATTTGAATATACTTGGTCTAACATAGTAGTATCTCTTAATGTATTTTTTACGAATTTCAAGAAAACAGGTACATACTAATATAAAATGGTATTCATCTTCAATATCACGAGGATTACAATATATACAATATCGTTCATTTCTAGGAATTCTGTTTACACCATAACGTCCGGTTTGTATCAGTAAGTTATGTGAAGACATACGTATTCTACTTATATAAGTTCTAAGATTTCCTGGTAAAAGATCTAAATAATGTTCATAACCAAACCCACTCTTCAAATTATTATACAAATTCAAAACTGGGCTACCAGTAGAATGCCAGTTTTGTAAAAAGTTATCTATTACACGTTGCCTAAATTCGCAGAAAAAAGATTTATGACAAACACAACCTTGATTCTCCCATACATCCATAAAACCATTAGTGTACAACATATCTTTGACATTAGATAACCAATTATTAATGAATAAAATAGTCATAGTTTACAACTACATTTTGATTGTACAGAAAACTGGTGTTACAGGTGTAGTATTAAAGATTATAGACATAATGCAAGTTCTATAAATATAACAATTACAAGACATGTTCTGTGCTAGAGTTGTTACCCTTGTTACCCTTTCTAATATATATTGTAATTAAATATTTATGCACTGTAACCATTACCTATATCTTTAAATTGAAAGTGTTTAAAATGAGGTGTCATAATGACAATAAACCACACATATGTATTTTTATCTCAAAAGATTAGTCCTCATTCATTTTACAAATTTTATATATACAAGATCAAGTTTCTATGTTTTATGACATATTAACAATGCAACATGATAGATATAGTCCTATTTTTGTTTTTATTTCATATAAACTTTCATTAACCCTAAATTGTTAATCAGACTTGTACAGATTCCATTTTTGAAAATCAGTTTTTGGGATATAAAGGTCAAAATATGAAGTTGGTCAGTCAACAGTAAATAGCCAAGTCAAAAGGCAGGGGTGTGCATGTTGACTTGGCTCTATACTGGTGAAAAAGGCTAATCACTTGTAATTTCCAGCATTGTAAGAATTAAACTCATACAAGAATTGTCATAAAGCTTGCTACAAGCTCTGTTGATGAGTATTATCTAATGACTTTTTATCGTTTATTATAAGAGCTCAGATAAAGCGAGATTTGAATACAATGCTGCCTTAATTTGTTTTACTTTAATTTATTGTTCCTATTTTTCTGTAATGTCATTAATTTATGTAAGTGTAGTGTGAATCCCTTAAATTAATTATTATCAGCAATGTGGGCAAACCTGGCAAAATAAATATAAGTTTGGTTGATGCAGCATTGATTATACACGAAAAAACATTCCATGTACACAAACAAAATGAAAAATTATATGTAGCAGCATTGTGTTTTTAAATGATGAATATTTGATAATAAAATTAATGATCTCTTAGGATTCCTAAGGTTACGAATATATACAATGTATAGTACTGCTTTTAAACTCAAATTTATACATTTGACTTCTTATAATGTAGCTTTAAGTTTGATTGTGTTATAATTTTAAGATCTGTTTAGTTTTTTTTTCAATATTATTACTTGTTTTTTTATTTCTCATTGTTTTTTTTTCTTTTGTTTATACTTTGTTTGGTTGAGAGTGTTGTAATAAATGATATTTGCTCTGTTTAGTACATCTATTTGTTATACTTCATGTTAGTTTTATATTGCTTTGCTGATTTTCTTGTTTATATTTGTTTTTTATTCTCTGTTTAAGTTTGATATCTACACAATATGCACAAATATCACTTTTTATACAATTTTGTGGTATTTTTTACCCAGCTTATGTTTATGTTATTAGTAATCTTACTTGTGCTTTATTTCATAGAATGGCCATCGGTTTTTTGTCAATTTTATATTATACTATTAATTTGTACTTATATACTATTAGATGCATTATATCATATAATATTCATGAAAATGGGAAAATAAACTTTTTTAAATATTTATGCCTTCTTTATACAAATTTTTAACTGACAATCATTATCAAGTATGAAATGTTGTCTTCAATTTATGGATAGAGTGCATAATTGAATGCCAGTCGTTCATCCATAATTAAGATGGATGAAAATGTCAACACAAAAAGAATAAGTGACATTCTGATTGCTTGTAACAACACTGCTTTGCAACATGTACCTGTATATTCCATTGTATTATTTCACTGCATTGACATGTCCCTAACATCAGATGGAGCAGTGGCTTACTGGTAAAGGTGTCTGTCTTTCAACACAGGTTTTTGTGGCTGGACCAGGTCATAACCATGACTCATATTCATTCTACACATATTGTACCGGTAATGGTTACAATTATATAGTAGAAGTTGCAAAATGGAGGCTGGATAATTATGTTTAAACTGGATATGAATGCGCCAGTGGTAACATTATTTGTCTGCTTTGAAACAAGGTTTTTTTTAACATAACTTGAACCGTTGACTAAGCTGCAGATGAACCCCTTTGTGCTTAAACTGTGATCAATAAAATGAAGCTTATGTTGCTTGGCCGCTTTTTATGATATACATGGCATATTGAAATAATTGGTGATTTTGTAAAGAAAATATATATCTTTAATTTATAGGTGGTTAACGAATCCATCATGATTAGGCCTGATTCGTAGGTTTTAAATATCACAAAGTATCGGGGTATGAGAAAACTTTTATTCAATAGTACCCATTTAACATGCTAAACTGACACCATGCAGCATCTGTACATATAACATATAAAGGGTCATGTTTTTAATGTATGTCTTTTTTTCTTCTTCTTCTTTCTTTTTTTTTCTTCCCAGCAAAAATACATTTGATTGCATAGTATGAATTAAAAGGAAAAATTAGAAATAGTACAGATAATGTGATAAATCAAAGATGTAGATAACAGAGATAAGCAGGTCCTATATACTCCACTGAAATATCTCTCATGCCTATCAAAAAGTGAAAAAAATGGCATTTTGTAGCAAATTAAACTTAATGGGTGTACATTTGATCCCTTTGTTAGCTTTGTCTCTGGTGACAAAGGTGAAAAGCGAATTAACTCTTTATATATTAATGCTAGATTTTTAATTGAGTTGCGTCCCTTACATTGAAGATAATATTCAAACAAATTAC